AGGGTGGGCGGCAGGCGCGCGCTTGGCGGGCCTGCTCGTGGCGTGCCATGTGTGGGCTGTCGGGTTGCTGCTCGACCGCGACGCGTTCGCCGCTTCGCCGCTTGTGAGGTTCGGCAACTGAGGAGGGACGCCTCCTGAGTATCTGGTGGCTGCACCTGTCTGTCCAGGCAGTGCGGCCGCCCCCACCCACCTGCAGCCTCCCCCACCACAAATCTGATCTCGCGTCTGCTCCATCCTCTCCCCCCCCCCCGCCACCCTTTACGCGCGCAGTCGAGCAGCAGCCGCCCGAGTCGGAGGCCGTCGCCGGCGTCGTGAGGGACGAGCTTTCCGCCCTGCTGGCCGGCGCCGCTGACGCGAAGGCGTACGCGCAGCGCTACGCCGCCCAGCACGCCGCCTCGCCGTTCCTTGCGCGCCGCGCGGCGGCGGCGGAGATGCTCGCGCTCGTGGACGCGCCGGCGAAGGCCGGCGCGGTGGCGGCGCTTGTCCAGGCCGGCACGGCCGGCGCCGGCGAGGGCGCGTGGCGGCCGGCGGCCGAGCAGCAGCAGCAGCAGCAGCCGCAGCAGCAGCAGCAGCAGCAGGCCGTGGCTGCGCACGCGGAGTGCGTGGCGGTGGAGGGGCTGCTGGCCGCGCGCGGCGGCCCCCTGGAGGACGCCGCGGCGGCGGCGGCGTGGCGGGCCGCGTGCGCCGAGGCGTTCCCGCGCTCGACGCACTTTGGGGGCCCGAAGCGGTTTGTAGAGGGCGCCGACGGCGCCGCCGCCGCGGCGGCTGCGGGGGAGCTCTCGAAACTGTCGGTGTGAGAGCTGCCGCCGCGTGGGATTGGTTTCTGCTGTGCACGGCCGCATGTCTGCGCATCGCGGTGAGCAGTCAAGCTTCAACGCGCGAGGCGGCAGCCGAGGGGCCGCCGCAGCTGGGCTAGCATTGCATTCGTCCCGCCAGGCTCAACCCGAGCTGCCGGGCTCACGCCGCAGCGCCCCTCTTTGTCCCCTGTCCCGTGGGTTAGCTTTGTCCTCTGGCAGTGATGGGACCGTGTGGTGAGGTGTGCGTGTGTGCGTGTGTGTTTGTGCATGTGTTTGTGTATGTGTATGTGTGCAGACGCAGGTGCAGGTGCAGCAGCCACGGCGATTTTTGCTGTTACAGCATGCATTGTTCCTGCTGCGGCACCATTGGTCCCCCCTCTGGTCCCGGGTTCCCTGTTGGGCGTCCCTTGAGCAGCCCTCGTTGCTGCAGGCGTCTTCTCATGCACTACTGTGTGGCGCAGTCATGCCGCTACAAGTAATATGAGCTGACCTGGAGCAGGGTACAGCAGGGCCAGGGACGCTGGGCTCAGAGGGGGGGAGGGTGGCAGTGGCAACAAACAGCGGGTAGGGCTGGGACTCCAGTGTGGAGTCAAGGAGCTGCTAAGGGCGAAAGCGTGCGTATGCAAACCCTGAGAACTCAACTTTGCACATTTGTTGGAGGGAAAGTGATAAGACACGAGCTGCAAGACTAAGAGGGGAAACTCTCAGGCGAACGCTCATGGCAGGCTGGGCAGTGGCGCTATTTGCGGCGTTGGGGATCTAATGTAAACATGTACTGCGGGCGATATGAGGGTCACTATCACCTAGCAGACCAGCATCGAGCCTGCTGCCACCACTCGGCCTGACAGTGGCAGCAACAATGCACCTCGGTTGCAACACTGCCTGCTCAGTGCCCGCTCGCCGAGCTGGGCGCATTTGGTGGCGCGCAAGTGCTGACCACGTCCTCTCTCAGCGACTCGGCAGGAGTCTGCTTTGTCCTTTTTCAAAAGGTGCGGCCACGGTGGCGCACGAGCAGCCCGCGGGGTGGAGGGGCAGCCGTCGCACGGCGTTGTGTGCAGGACCCAGCATCAGGCGGGTGCTGGAGCTGGAAAATATATTCAAGACAACCCATCTAGCTGAACCTTTCGCCCTTTGGTGCGCAGGGAGCCACAAACATGCCGGGCGGTCAGGGCCTGCGCCACAGGACGCGCGACCTCTTCCAGAGGGGCTTCCGGCAGAAGGGTTTTATCCCTCTGTCCACCTACCTGCGCGTCTACAAGGTCGGGGACTATGTGGACATCAAGATGAACGCGGCCGTGCAGAAGGTGGGCTGTGCGGCCTCTTACGGGCTGAAAACGCGCTTTGAAACCTTACGATGTACGGGGACGGCGTGCTGCCGGGCTGTGAGGTCTGCGAGCACTGTGATCGCGCCGTCGCTGCACGCGCCGTCCCGAGCCGCCGCTGCGTGCTGCTCACGCTGTCCGGCGGTCGCATCGGGTGCTGCGCCTTGCGTCTGACAGGGTATGGCGTTCAAGTGGTACCACGGCAAGACCGGTGTGGTTTGGAACGTGACCAAGCGCGCTGTCGGTGTGGAGGTCAACAAGACGGTGCGCTCCGCGGGATCTGCTCGCGGGATTAAATCAGGCTGTGCTGGCACGCGCAGCAGTTGAGCAGCATATCAAACGTCATGGCTGCACAGACATGTGGGCCCTGGGCACTGCGGACGGTGGCGTCAGCAGCTGCAGCTATGCCGGCTGCTCTCTGCTGCTTCGGTATAAACCATAGCGCAGTTGAACACGCAGCAGCAGCAGCAGCAGCAGCAGCAACGGCAGCAGCGGCAGCAGCAGCAACGGCAGCAGGGGCAGCAGCAGCAGCAAGCAGCAGGAGCAGGAGCAGCTGCAACGGCAGCATCAACAGTTGCAGCAGCTGGAGCAGGGTTTGGGGACTAGAAGCTCTCGTGCGTGTGCCGGTGGACAGCATCTGTTGACGGCACCGCAGTGGCACCTGCAGTCACGCAGTGGGATAGCGAATTTGTCAAAAGTGGCTGGCTGGACGCTGCTGCAAATGGCGACAGTGCCATCGGCGGCTGTCAGTCCCCTCAGCACGCCCGCGACAGCCAGCTGTGCGCTGCTTCGCCGCAGTGCAGGCCGCGGCGATCAGGCAGCTGCACCTGGCTGGGATGGCAAGCAGCTGCTTCATCATAGCACCAGCGGGACTGTTCTGCAGCTTGGTGTGCCAAGGCAGCGGCGAGTGTGCGCGAGCAGCTCTGTCCTGCTAAAGCACCATGTTAGGCAGCAGCATGCACACATGCAGCCAGCACGGTCGGGCCCAGCACGGCGGTGTGTGTGACCCCCCCCCCCCGTCCCACCCCACCCCTGCGCCCCTGGCAGGTGCGCGGCCGCATCATCCGCAAGCGCATCCACGTGCGCATTGAGCACATCCAGCCCAGCCGCTGCCGCGCGGACTTCCTTAAGCGCCGCGAGGACAACGACGCCATCAAGCACGAGGCCAAGGTCAAGGGAGGTGAGAAGACGTCGCTGCGGCGGAGTTACGCAAGTTTGGGGCGAGCAAGCATGCTGCGGCACGACGCCAACTATTGGCGGGTGCTGCTGTGCTGAGCGGGTGCTGGTGCAGGCGCACCAGAGCTGTGCGGGAGTTGCAGGGGCCATTACATGCAGGGGACCGCCGCTCCGCAGGATTGCGTGCTGCCTTGGCTGTGCACTGTAGCAATGGCGGCGACGGGGCGCGAGCGCCGACCCCCTCATCTGTGCTGTTCCCGCACCCGCCATGCGCGCCCGCAGAGAAGCCCCCGTCTCTGAAGCGCCAGCCCCGGGTGCCCCGCGACGGCTTCACCCTGACCAACGTGTCGATGGAGACCATGACGGCCATCCCCTACGACATCATCAAGGAGGGCATCATCTAAACAGCCCGCCCTTTGGCTGTTGTTGGTGGCTGCCCCTTGGGATCATTACATGGCCCCACGAGTAAAATCTTGGGCTCTGATTCTTGCAATTGGGCCTGGAGCTGAAGCACGGAGGCTTTGACAGGCAGTGGCTGTTCGCAAGAAGTTATTGGCAGGGGGGCGGCAGCAGCACGATGACCACCAGCAGCAGCGCAGCAATGCGAATCGCCCAGGTGACATGTGCAGTCGCACTGCATGCGTCTAGATCGCTATGAAGGGTCTCATGGACAACATCCCGTAGACATTCCTCGTCAAAGTCTATTATTCTTTGGTTTCTTCATCCCGTAGCCATGCGCTCTGCGCGCGAAAGTGCGGGGCTGCTCAACTTTTGGACAAGCCTGCGGCGCGCTCAAAGCAGGAGCGAATGGTCGCTTTCTGAACTCCTGCATTACGATAGATGGACGGGAACGCTGTCGGTCGCATGCGCGGCAGCTGCGCACACGTCGGCCGCCGCCAGTGCGAGTTACGCAGCAGGGGGGCGGACCAGAAGGAGGGGCTTACGCCGCGCAATTCCTGAAGATCACGATCATTACAGAGATGACGAGTGGCAGCACGCAGGCCCTGCACACCGGCCAAACGACGACGCTTGGAGCCGTGACGGCAGGCCGGCAGGCGGCAGCGCAACCGGCGATGCGATCGCACGCCTCGCGCGCGGCGCGCTGCGCCCAGGCGCCCCCTCGGGCGCCGGCGCGTCCGCGCTGGAGGCGGCGCGGCCGATCACGGACGGCGCTCTGATGGCTCTGATCAAGGCGGCGCGGCACCTGACAGACATTGAGAGGGCGCTGCTCGACCACGGCCCGTTTTTCAGGTGCGCCGGCACCGGCCACAGCCTGCTGTCCCACTTCTCGCTTAAACTGAGAGCTAGAAGCTTCCATTGCCTTCGGGCAGCACTCACGCAGCGCCGCCTGCGCGTGTGCTTTTCTGTTACTGCTTATTGGGACGGGTGCGGCCCTCCACCTTCCGCCGTCCCGCCTGGCCGAGCCGCCCCCGCCCGCCACCACGGACGCGCAGGCACATGCACGTTGCGGCGGCGCTGGCGCGGCTGCCCGAGGTGCAGCACCCGGCCGCCAACCGCCGCATCCGCGTCGGCTCAGTGCTGCGCCTATTGGCCGGCGGCCTGCAGGCCACTGCGGCGCGCCTCGACCCCCACCAGCTGTCCGCCTGCCTGGCCGCATTCGGGCGCCTGCGGATGGCGCCCCCGGCGGCGGCAGCGCTCGTGTGCTCGCTGCTGTGCGCCGACGGCGGCGCCCCGCTGAGGAAGCTTCACCCCTGGGAGCTGGCGGAAGCTGCCGAGGCCCTGGCGGCGCTGCAACAAGAGGAGGAGGTACTCAGGGCGGAGGCGGCCGCCGCCGCCGCCGCCGACGCTGCAGGGGCGGCCGGCGCGGACGATGACCGCCTGTCCATCTTCCGCGGCGGCGCCGCCCTCAACGGCGCTGAGGGCCAGCCTGGCACCGCGCTGGCCGCCTCTCCGGGAGCGCTGCCGCTAGGGCCACCCGCCGACGGCGCTTTGGCGCTCGAGGCGTTCTGCGGCGAGAGAGGCGCTGGCGGCGCCACGGACGCGCTCGCGCGCGTGTCCCCCGCCGCCGCGCTGTGGCAGCTGCTGGCCGACGCCGCGCGGCCGCGGCTGCGCAGCTTCCCGGCGGCCGACCTCGCGGCGCTGACGTGGGCGCTCGCGCGCTCGGGGCGCGCGAGCAAGCGCTTCATGGGCGACGCGTCGAGCGCGGCGCGGGCCGGGCCGGGGCGCTTCGATTCGGACGGCGTCGCGCGCATGGCCAGCGCGCTGGCGGCGGCGGGGCACAGGGACGAGTTCCTCCTGGGGGCGCTGGGGCGGGAGGTGGCGCTGAGGAAGGCCGAGTTCACGGTGCCGCAGCTCGCGGGTGGGCCGGCTAGGGGGGGCGCTGGCGCGCGAGGGGCGGCTGCCGGCGGTTTTGAGGGGCCGTGGGCGGCCAGCTTCCACTGTTGACTGCTAAGTCAGGCGGAGTGGGCGAGCCGCCAGCGAACCGGCGTACTGAGGGCGTTGGCTCTGAAGCAGTAGGAGCAGCTGCGGGCGACTCTCAGATGTGGCGCTCACAACCCCACCTCGCCCCCCCCCCTTCTACAGGCATCCTCCACGCCCACGCTGACCTGGCATTCTACGACCCCGACGCCGCCACCGCCGCCGCCAAGGCCGCGACCCGCGCCGGGGCGCTCCGCCGCGCGCCGCCCGCCGCGGCGGCGTCGCTGGTCGGCGCGCTCGCGCGGCTGCGGCACGCGGACGAGCCCCTACTCCTGGATTTCTGCAAGCTGGCGCCCCAGATCGCCCCAGATCTCCCCCCAGATCGCCTCGTGGACGCGCTGTGGGCGCCGCTGCACCTCGGCCACGCAAGCGCCAAGCTCGAGGCCGCCGTGCCGCCGCTGCTGGCGGCGCTGGCGGCGCAGGCCGAGCGGCTCGCGCCGGGCGACGCGGCGCGCGCGCTGTGGTGCTGCGCGGTGCTGGAGGACGGCCCTGGGGGCGGCCGCGGCGGGGACGACAGGGGAAGCGGGGGGGACGGCGGCGCGCTCGTGTGGCGGCTGCTGGGGCGGCTGGGCGCGGCGCGGGCGGCGGACTTCTCGTTTGAGGAGCTGCGGCTGCTGCACCAGGCAGACCGGCTGCTGAACAACGAGTGGCTGCAGGACGGCGCCGGAGCCGCGTCGTCCCATGCTGCGGCGGGCAGCAGCGGCGTCATCGCTGAAG